CGAAGTTCGTGCACCTCTAGTTGATGTTTCTCAATCGTATCTTATATGACTTCCACCTTACGATCATCGTCAATAGGGGTTGTGTGTTCTCTATTGTCTTGTGTCATTAAGCCAAGTGAATCCATACTCTGCTACCACTTGACGTAACGGAATACACGGAGATTACATATTATTTTAGCAGACGAAAGATGTTCTTGAATCCACAAGAGAAAATAGAACCTTGAATCCACAAAGAAGAGAAAATTTTAAAGAATCTGAATTATATTGCATAAAAGTTATCCTTGCCATAAGACGTACACAGCTATTTATAATAAACTAAGCCTTGGAGACTAAGTAAACGTGGACACCAAGATATCTGAAATTGGGAAACAATAAACTAATCTTATTCTTGGAAACAAGAAACCTAAAAAATTAGGGAGAAAAAATCAAAACAATTTAGAAACCTAATAATTCTAAAATATTTATATTAGATTAATTACAAGAATCCTAATCAAATAATATATCAAAAATATAAAAAATCTAAAATCTTTTTTTTTTTTTTTGATCGGCGAAAGTCATCACATAACCAAACACAAATGAAACATAACCAAAGATCTCAAAATAATATCAAAACTAAAGAAGAAAATTGGTCATAATTTAATAAGAAAATGACGTAACTAAGAATACATATGATAAGAGATGTGTATAATAGAATTCTCTTCTTTCTGTATGTACAAATATATTTTTAACAAAATGATTTTGATAAAACTTTGTTTCATTGTTATATGTATAGGAAATACATCATATAAAACAAAATAAACTTTGCAAATTGTTTCTATTATTTATAATTTAAAAAAATATTTATTTTTAGTATAAGGTTTCAATATCAGCTTTGCAGGCAGGATTCACTCCAAAATAAGAAAATGAAAATGTTGGGTAAGGTAGGGGTACATCTTGGTCTTGAGTGTACATGCTTAAATTCACTCATAATGATGTGATAAGAAAATTGGGTGCTTAATCATTGGATATGCAATCAATCCAAAGTTGACACCTATCACAACATACCATTGTGGATTTTTGTGTGGGAATTTTTGAGAGGTCTCAAATATTTCCTTATTTTTCTCATTTTTCAATTTTTGGTACAATACAAAATAAATCAATAAAGATATTTTTGTGGTCAAAACGGAAGATGCGATCAACTTATAGGGTTTCAAAGGAACTTATAGGATTTCAAAGGTTTAAGGTTTAAAGTCTTATTTTGATATTCGACCTGATCAAATCTCAAAAAAATTATAAGCCGTTACTCATCAATAGCATACGAGTTGAATTGGTCGAATTCTCATTCCAATCTCAGCCATAAATTGGCTCCTCTTATTTGAATTTCGCCCTGGATCCATCTCGAGTGCATCCATGCGCTCTTATTCGAATTTCACCCCAAATCTCTTATCTATCTGTTATCAAACTGTGCTTTGTGTGGCCTAATGATCTGGACTGCATTTTGTGTGCCCCCTGCCTCCCGAACTCTTACACCTCTATGCTTTGGACTCTTCCCAAATCTCGCGCCCATGCGCTCTTCAACTTCACACCAGATTTCATCTTGAAACCATATCAGAATAAAGTCAAGCGCCATCGCTCAAGTTTGAGGGGAGATATTAAAGAATATTTTGAGAATACTGTGTTTTTATTTTTGATTTTACCTATTTTTCCTTGCTTGAGTTTCTTGTTCACTACTCTGGACTTAAGTTACTTGATTAGTACTCAATTGAGACCTATAAATTTGTCACTCTTGTAATGTTTAGATATCAATCTCAACACAATATTCTTTTTTTTTTTTAGTTATATTATCATAAGGATTTCGAATAACTATACGTGCTAAATTATTTCAAATTTATTAATCTAAAACTTTCAATGCATTATTGAAGTCTCAATATAAAATGCTAAGTTGAATTAAATTTTTTGATACAAATCCAACCTTAATATTTAAAATTCTTTTGATTTGTTTAAAGCAGGCTAATATTTTTAAAAGATTGAAATGAAATTCATTTTGATAAATGGCATGTCAATGGATAAGTTTAAGATTTAAAGGACAATAATCATATAAATCATTGTTTGCAAATTTATATGGCTAAAAACACTATGATGTAATTGAATATTTATTTAAGGAGACTTGGGCATAAGTTCAATTTCAAATTTTTTGGGGCAATACTCTATTCTTTTGAGGCCAAAATAACAAAATAATTTGAAAAAAAATCATATTTATCCTACCAATCTATCTATTGTCCATTGTCTAGTTATTTGTCGGTCACCTATTTATCAACATTTACATGTCCATGTATCATCTCTTATTTATCCACAAGTCACTTATTTGTCTATCTAATCTATCTATTTGTTTATATCACCACCACCAACAATCATCATAACCATCTAGTAGTAATGGGGTGAAAATGTAAGAAAATTCCCTCAAAATAATAATTTACCATTCTCACAAAATAATTTCATTAATCATGTCATTATCTCTAAAAAAATCAAATGCTTGGATCTAATACCATATCAACATAGAAATATCACCAATAAATCCTTTATTTTATTATTAATAAAGGCACTTATTCATTAAAATAAAAGTAGGCAACCTTCCATTACTTTTCATGCAAAAGACAAGATTCTATGGAGCCATAAAAAATAAAATAATAATAATAATAAAAAGATTCTATAGAAAAAAAAGAAAAAAAGAAAAAAAGAAAGAAAGAAAGACCACAATTAAGACTATGAGTATAATTATTTTTTTTCTTTTAGTTGTGACTCTCATAGGATTGAATTATGACACTTGTGATAATCAAATTTACAAATGTCATAACTTGCATATGGTAAGTACTCTTAAAAAAGTGTATACTATAGTATTACCCTTTATATATATATATACACATATTTAATGGAAAATGTTTAAGACTTACACAAAATCTCTCATAATTTGATCCACAATAATGTGGCATAATAGGTGTTGAGAGGGAGATTTGCGCTGGACAGGTACGGCCGACCTACGGTAGCGCGGGTCATGACAGACCTCGCGGGTGCCAAGGTGCTTTCCCGATGGGCGCGGTTCTCCGTCACATCATACACGGCCGGGCTAGGATGGCTGAGCGGGCGTGGACTAGGGCTCGTATCAAGCTGAGCTGTGACTAGGCTTGGCGCTCGGTCGGACCCACCAAGGTGTGACGCGACCGAGCTAATTGCGGCCCGGAATGAATTAGGGCCGGGGAAAAGGCCAGTGTGCCTCTTGGCCGGTCGACCCGGTAGAACCTCTTGCAGCTGGGTTGTGAAGGTCACGATTGCATTACTTCTCAAGGGATAGGCCGGTCGTGGTATTCCGGTCAGGTGTGCCACTTGGGCCAATGGTGTGGTGGGGAGGAAATCTGCTCTTGGCACGCGTCAATACCGTTTGGCAGTTTCATACGTACTGTTTGGAGGTTTTGGCCTTTACACGCATAAGGTGGTGGAAGGCGAGCACTGCCACCTGTCTAGGGAAGGACAGCAGAGGTAGTGCGTGCACAATCCCTGAGCCTGCATGGCCAACCTAGAAAAAGAAAGGAAGGGGAACGTTGGAGGTATGCTATCTGAACCTCGCTCTCTCTCTAAACAGTATTCTTCTTCCTCAAGTGATTTGACTTGATTGTCGGAGGGTCTATCCGGCGACACACCGTCGGGCAGCTCACCGTTTCTCTGTTTCCAGGTCAAGACGTCATTATGCGAAGCTTGAGTTCAAGGAGTACGGAAAGCAATGAATATTTCACCCTCGTACAATTAGCGCCGTCTATGGGAAGTCACTGTGATACACAAACCTTGCTCTTCAAGCTTTTTCGACCGTTTCCATGGCTAACAACGACGAGACTCCACTGTCTGTCGTCAATGGTGTCACACCAGAATCTGTTCATCGGAGAGAAGGCCCCCCAAACGTTACAGCCATGGCAGGCCTAGAGACCTCTTCGAGAGGTGCGCGAGACAAATGCGCAAGGAGTACTGATCGCTTGAAAAGCCCAGAGGGTTGTCGTTGGCTGAGGGATTCGCACGCCCAGCGTCTGGAGCACAAACTCAAAGATCAGGATGCCCTCATTCGCAAGATGGCGGCTGAGATGGAGGTGCTGAAGCGCTAGATCAAGGGGAAGGGTGTTATTGGAGAGGGAACCCTCAGTGAGCGCACCCCGTCTCCTCGTTCTAGCAGTTGCCGCCAAGGAAGGATGTATTCTCTCTCTATCACCAGGAGCTATGGGGTTGGGGACTCCAACCCCCAGGAGGGCAAATCTCTCACTCGTGATAGCACCTATCGTCCCTCACGCCCGTCGTCGATGTCGCGATACTCTTTTTTCGCCCGTTCCAGAGACTTGAGAGATGTGTTGGAGGAGAGGGCACGCCGTAAAGAGACTCAGAGATTGCCGGCGTTGCAGAGGCTAAGTTCCCAAATACGGCGTAGTGAGGAAGTGGCAATGCCAACGCCTAGAGTGGTGGCCCCAGCGCTTGTGGACAAAGAGCTGGTGAAACTTACAACTACGCCGCTGTCTCCAGAAATCGAGAGTACACCACTCCCTGCTGGATTCCACCAGCCTAAGTTCACCTTGTACGACAGTAAGACGGATTCGTACATGCACGTGAGTCATTACCGGCAAGTAATGGCTGGACACCGGCGCAATGACGCCCTTATGTGCTTGATATTCCCAGCAAGCTTGGGAGAATTGGGCCTGAAATGGTTCGAAAGGCTTCTGGAGGGGAGTATTGAGGGGTGACAGCAATTAGCGGAGGCCTTCGTCACCAGATTCAAAACCAACACTCGAACACCAAAGAAGGTTGATCATCTTCTGGGCATGAAGATGAAGTTTGGGGGTTCGTTAAAGGCATACAACACGAAGTACTGGGAAACCTACAATGAGATCCTCGATTGCCCCACCAATCTGGCGATCACTTAATACAAGCGGGGTCTCACAGTCGGACATAGGCTGCGAGATTCGCTTACAATGCATCAGCCCACAACCATGGAGTCTTTGATGCAACGAATCAATGAACACATTCGTGTGGAGGATGATACCGCTTCCGTGACCGAGAAGTTTAATCTGGTAGCTGCGGACAGAAAGGCAGCGAAGAAAGTTCACTCAGTTGGGCAGGCAGACAACCGCCCAAACGACCGGTCAAAAGATCAACGTCGTGGCTCAAACCGTGATGACAGAAACAAAGGTCGCAGAAGCGATCGAGATAACGCTCCCCGTGATGAAGAGGAGGATGCCAAGAGAAAATTGAAGGCAAGAACTGGTATCACCACGGTCTTCAAAATCCCTATTTACCGCATACTGAGTGAAATCCGAGGTGAGCCTTTCGTCTGCTGGCTAGCCAAGTTGGGGAGCGCACAGAGAGGCTTCAACTCGAGATATCGCTGCACCTTCCATGAGGAACGGGGGCATCGAACGGAGGATTGCTTGCTACTCAAACAACATTTGGAAGAGCTGGTGGCGGCGGGACATCTTGACCAATACATAGATGGGGGTATGAAAGTCGCGCCACTTGGACAAACCGAGCCAAACGGCCTACCCGCTCTTGAGGCAGCGCCCCAAGGTGTAATTAATGTCATCCATGGCATCATTGAACCTGCAAGGGTTTGTGAGCTAAGAGGGATAATTAAGAAAGCCGAGCACATAAGGGAAGTGCTCTTTGTTCAGCCCGCTGTGAAGAAAGGGAAGACCGAGAAGAAGGACATCTTTACCTTCTCAAGTAAGGACTTGGAGAGAATTCAGATGCCCCACAATAATGCTCTAGTAGTGACTCTTCGCGTCAAAGATTTTGACATCAAGAGGATCTTGATTGACCAGGGGAGTTCGGTCGAAATCATGTATTACGACGCGTTCAAGCAGATGAAGCTGTAGGATAAGGACTTGGCCCCTGCGACGTCTCCTTTGGTTGGTTTCAACTCTCAGCCAGAATGGCTGGTGGGGAAGATCATATTGTCGGTCAAAGCAGGTTCAGTCATAAAGCAAGTAGAATTCTAGGTGCTCAAGGTTCCATCCACCTATAACTTAATTTTGGGCAGAGGATGGCTGCACGCCATGGAAGCGGTAGCATCGACCTACCATCAGGTTCTGCGTTTCCCGGTGCCAACCGGACAAATAGAGGAAGTTTAGGGAGACCAGGTGATGGCAAAACAGTGCTTCGTTGCGGTGAACGGTAGCCGGGCCGCCAAAGGGTTCGTTTAGATGATAGAGGGACCAGAGGGAAAGGAAGTCTTGGAAGACGTAGGAAGGAAGGCCGAGGAGAAGTCGGTCGAAGATTTGGTGGAGGTGCGTATTGACGAGAACGACCCAACTAAGTTCTTTCTCTTGGGATCATCCTTGTCCAGCGCTGAGCGACTCGACTATGTTGACTTCCTGGTCTCCAACATAGAAGCTTTTGCATGGACGCCTTACGATATGCCTGGTGTCGACCCTAGCTTCATCTGCCATCAGTTGAGTGTCTTCCCAAATGCACGGCCAGTCATCCAAAGGACACGCTTTTCAGCCTTGCACCATGCCGAAGTAGTGGTGGAAGAAGTGAAGAACTTGTTGGAAGCTGGGGCCATAGAAGAAGTGCAATACCCTCGATAGATTTCCAACACGGTGGTGGTTCCGAGAAAGAATGGCAAGTGGCGAGTGTGCGTTGACTATAAGACGGTCAACTGTGCATGCCCCAAGGATAGCTTCCCCCTCTCTCGAATCGACCAGCTGGTGGACTTGACCGCTAGCCATCAGAGGTTTAGCTTCCTGGATGCATATCGCGGCTACCACCAGATAGCCATGTAGGAATCGGACCGAGAGATCACATCGTTCGCTACTCCTAGAGGCCTGTATTGTTACAAAGTCATGCCGTTCGGACTGAAAAACGCCGGGGCAACTTTTCAAAGGATGGTGACAAAGATGTTCGCTCCCCTTCTGGGCCGAACCATGGAGGCCTACATCGACGACATGGTGGTAAAGAGTAAGGAGAAATCTCAGCACCTCGCCGACCTAGCAGAGATGTTTGCTACACTTAAACACCACAAGCTTCGTTTAAATGCCTCTAAGTGCGCCTTCGGAGTCGGCACCAGAAAGTTTCTGGGTTTTCTGGTCATGAACCGAGGGATTGAGGCCGACCCATCCCAAATTAAGGCAATACAAGAGCTGGAGCGCCCAAACTCCACGAAGGATGTGCAACATCTTGCCGGGATGGCAGTCGCGCTGAACAGATTTATAAGCTGGTCTTCAGATCATTGCAGGCCCTTCTTCAAAACTTTGAAAGCCAAGTTCTTCTGGGATGAGGAATGTGACCGTGCACTGGCGGATCTAAAAGTGTACCTTTCCTCAACCCATATCCTAGTCACGCCAAAACCAGGTGAAGAACTGTATCTCTACTTGGCAGTATCTCAACATGCAGTGAGCGCCGTCCTAGTCCGTGCTGAAGGCGTCCAGCACCTGTCCATCTTCTATGTGAGCAAGACCTTGCTCCCTACTGAATCAAGATATCTGCCGCTAGAAAAATTAGCCCTGGCCCTGATGATGGCCTCGAGAAAGCTGGCGCACTATTTTCATGCCCATACAATAGTTGTGCTAACCGAGTTTCCACTTAAGGTACTCTTTGAAAAGGCAGACTTTACCAGGAGGATTTTGAAATGGGCCGTCGAATTGGGGTAGTACGACATCAAGTTCTGGTCGCGTACCGCGATCAAGGCTCAAGCCCTTACAGACTTTGTGGCGGAGTTTGCCCCTAGAATGCATCCAGTTTGCCCGGTTGATTTATCTAGTGCAGATTTGGCACAGCCCATAGATCAGGCAATGGAGCCAAGTGTTAAATCACGAATGGAACTGTAGACACCCTATTTTTGACCGCCTTTAAGACTCGGACGCGACTGATGGTTTTGGAAGATGTGCAGGGCAAAAGTTCAGTTTCTTCGGCAAAGAGAGAGTCAAAGCTCAACTTCATACCCCTTTTTGGACCAAAACAATCTTGATCAAAATATTTTAGACCTTAAAACCCTCTCTTTCAAAACATTTTTGAAATAAAGTTTCTACGATGTTCCAATGCTCGCATTTCGTTAAATATTGCGCTTTTCGGTAAACCGAGCAAGGGCAAAGTGGAAATGAATGAAAGAGAGATGAAATCTTTGAAAAATCTTTCAAAACACCTTACTTAGGGGTTTGGAGTTGAAGAAAAGAGGAGAAGAGGGAAGAAATCCCGTTGGGGGAGAAAATGGGCAAGAACCGTTAAGAAAGAATCGAGCAGCCCTCGCCGAATCGGGCCTATTCATTTGCATACTTGGAATCCAGCTATGAGGCCACCACCGTTGGAAAGAAGACTTCCGGGGCTTCGTTTTGCACTCAAGAATCTCCTAAAGCCAATTTCGGACGGGGAAGATATGGTTGATTGAAGTAGGGCATCACTCCGGTTAGACCGAATCTGCGTGGCTTCACCAAAACAGGCATAACTTTTTCCACATGAGGAATTTTAATACAAGGTTTGTGCCATTGGAAAGCTAACTTCCGGGGCTTCAATTTGGACACCTGGGCGGCCATCTTTGGACTTCCCAATCACTGGCCGGCTACCTTTCTTTTCGGTAGACCCTTTTTTTGTCCTGAAAAGTAGCAGGCCGGCTAGAAAATGTGGCAGGCCGGCCACCTACCTGGTCGGATGACCACTTTGGCCCTTTTGAGCTGGCCAGCCATTCTGGTCCTCCTGAGTGTGTTCCAGCTATGCCCTCCTTTTTCCTCCAGACCCTGTACCCGAGGGTCAGCCTTTTGGGGGCGAAATTTGAATTGGTTTTCCCCCCCATTTTCCCCTTCTCTCCCTCTATAAAACCAGCACCCTTAGCTGCATTTTGGGAGGTTAGAAAAATCCGTTGGAGCTCTTGCATTAAAACCTCCCTCTCTCTCTACTCCAAGCCTCAAAATACCCTTGCTCCTACACCATTTCTACACCAACTCATAGCCTATCAACCCACACTCCACTTCCAGCAACTTGAGGCTATTTTTCAGAGTTTAGGAGCACCTTTCCTTGGTCCAAAAGCTGCTGAAGTTTGGTTCTACAAGGGTGAGTCATTTTCTTCCCTTTTCTAGTCTTTTCTTGCTTCATCTATAAGCCATACTTGCAAGCATTTTTGGGCTCCGACCCAAACTGTAAATAGTCATATTTTGAGCTTCTTTTCATGTTTGATCAAGGACCTCTTGCTGTTTGAGGTCTCCTACTGCCACTTGCCTCTTTATCTCTCTTTTAGGCCTATTTTTGCATGATATTTTAGGTTTATTTGTGGGCTGTTTTGGACTTTTCCATAAACTGTAAAATGTCTTGATTTGAGCCCCTCTTCAACTTTGTTGAAGGGCTCTCCTCTGTTTGAGGACAGAAGCTACCACTTGCCTCTTTATCCCTCTTTTAGGCCTTTTTCTTGCATGCTGATTTAGCCTCATTTCTGTTCATTTTCGAGACTTGATATAAACTGTAAAATACCTTATTTTGAGCCCCTCTTAAACTTTGTTGAAGGGATCTTTTCCATTTAGGGCCATCTTCTGTCCTTTGTCTCTATTCTCTCTTTTAGGGCCATTTTTGCATGATAGATTAGCCCTACTTGTGTTTGTTTTTGAGAGTTTTCATAAACTGGAAAAGGGCTTTTTTGGCATCATCTTCAAGTTTGTTTAAGGTTCCATTTTTTTTTGATGTCATATACTTCCTTGTAGGCTTGATTGTCTCCTATTTTGAGCCTTACACCTAAGCCCTTGTTGCATGCTTTGTTTGGCCTTCTAGCCACTGAAATAAGACACTGTTTTGAGCTTCCAAATCAGAGGGGGGTGACCCCCTCTCACCTTGACTTGTTTGGCGGCCATTTTGGCCTTCCAAAGAGACCCTATCTCGCATGCTTTGGAGTCACTTTCTGGGGTCAATTTGGTGAGTTTTGAGACTACCATATTTTATTTTTAGAGTTGTTTGTGCTATGCTAAGTGTCTACCTTGTATGTGCCTAATAACTCCTTGCATGGCCCTCTAAAGTAACTCATTATTTTTGCATGCCATGGTTGCATATCAGTGGTTATGTGGACCTATTTCCACATGATTTATTCACTAATTTTTTGCTGGTTTGGTGAGATTCCATATGCTTCATACACTTGCCATGTAAACCATGTTTGCTAGTCGAACTTGCATGCTATGTTAGGCCATCTTGCTAACATCTTTTGGCCATGCTTTGAACTGGAAATATGCATGTTTTGGGACTACCTTGGCTCTTTCTTTAGACTTCATGATCAAATAATGCATGCTTTGTATAGCTATAAGTCATTTTATGTGCCTAGTTTTGAGTTTCGGGGTTCATCTCATGCATTGGGTGCCATTTTTCCATGTTTCGAGGCTGTTTAGCATCATGTTTCAGTGCTGAAATTCACATGCTTGTATGCCATATTGCATCCCTTGCCATGCCTTGTTAGAGTTGCATGTTATGCCTAGGATTGGTCCTCGGTTTGCGTGTATGTGTGCACGCATTTCGATGGTCTCATTCTCACCTAATGGCCGCTGATTTGAGTGTGGCCGAGGCCCACTCATATTGGTGTAAGTCCATTGTGCATTGTGTATGCCATTTCAATTCATAACATCGCGTATGTTAGGTTGTATGTTAGAGCATCGTGTATGCCATGTTACATCGCGCATTGTATATGTCATTTCATAGCATTGTGTATGCTAGGTTGCATGTTAGAATTGCATTCATGCATGTCATGCATATTGCATTGTGTTTGGGATAGGTGTTAGCCCAAGCACGGGAAACGAGGTACGTTTCGTACTCCGAGTGACGGAACGTGTCTCAATTCCTGGTCGCCGACACTCCGGATTACCTGTGATGGAGTTTAGGTCTTGTTATGTTTATATGTGCATTCATTTCATATTGAGTCGTGCAATTTGATTCCTCTGCCATCATGCATCGAAATGCGTGATTGGTGACACGAGGATCGAGGACTACACTCTCTGAAGAGTAGTCCTACATACATATGTGAAAATACTTTGCCATGCCCCTTTGTTGCTCTCTGTTGCAGCAAATCAAAAATCAACAACCTTTCGGAGCTTGGCACGCATCCCGAGAACAATTGCAAACAGAGGCAAACCGGGACATCGTAGAGGATTTTTCAACAAAGGCAACCCGAGCATGCATCATTCATCTTTCGGAATAGAGCTGAGGCAGTTCACGAATTTGCGTGCCCATTTATTGCTTTCCTAGATTAATTTGTTAATTGACTAGGGTTTTGTAATTATTTGGACTGTAATTATTTATTTGGGACTGTATATTATTTATTCGGACCCTCCGAGTGAGGGCACAACTGTAATAAGTATGCGTGCATGTGATGTATGTCTTCCAACCCCACGTCTTTCTCTCTTTTATTTACCAGCTTATGATGGTTAGATTAGGGCATGTTTCAATTAGCATACAGTATCATAGCATGTTTGCATTCATTCATCTGTATTGCATGCATCGGGCTCGGCGCATCATACTAACTGCATTGTATTTTCAATTCCAAGTTGAATACATGTTAGCTGTAGCATTTCATATGCCATGTTTAGAATAGCCGAGCCTGCTATAGTTGCATTTTTGCATGTGTTGCATTAGGCATCTTTGTATAGTTAGGATCATGCATGGATTTCTAAGTAGCTTCTATTTTGGCTTGGAGTACTTGGTAAGTTTTATGCTTTAGCATCCTTGCATGCGTGTGAGTGACTGCCATGAATAGCATGCTGTTAGTTTTATGCTTTAGCATCCTTGCATCTCGTTGAGTGATTGCCATGATAGCATGCTTACCATGAGGCTAATTGCTTATGTGATATAACTGCCTGAATGCTTTGTTTTATTTGAGTTGGAGCAATTCGTTAAAATGTGTGTTTTAAGCCCACTAGATAGTGGCAAGATCATGTTTTCTAAGCCCACCTGAGGGTGGCAAATCCACATTTTAGCCTACTTGCGAGTAGCAAACTATCTTTCAAATAAACAAACATGAAATATTTTGTTCCAATTCAGGCGACCCAGTCTATACTTGTATGCTGTGCGCATCACATAGTAAATCTAGGCTAATAACCGAAATAAGAACGCATAATGTTTTCAAAACTAGATATCATGGTTAGTAGAGGCCGATCTTTGATTGGGCGAGCGGGGGTGCTCACGAAGTGACCTTTCCCAATCGTACCCAAGTTTCCGAGCTGAAGCAACTTTGGTGATGACGGACGCGTGGCCTTAGGCAACGAGTCAGGGTTTCCTAAATTTCCCCAAAATAAAACATTTAGGTGACGACTCTGTATCTGGCAAAGCAGTCTATGATCAAGTTTCGATCGCATACCGCGATCAAGGCTCAAGCTCTTGCAGACTTTGTGGCGGAGTTTGTCCCCGGAATGCATCCGGCTTGCCCAGTTGAGTTGGGTAGCGCAGATTTAGCACAACCCATGGCTCAGGCAATGGAGCCAAGTGTTGAATCACGAATGGAAGAAGTGCAAATGGCAGCCGAACTGGAAAAGCTAGATAATTCATCAAAAGACAAACCCAACCAAGACATGGAAAGAGACCAGAATGAACCGACCGGAACCTTGGAGTTGAGAAGCTCGCAAAACCCATTGGATTGCTGGAAGTTGTTCATTGGCGAGATGTGGAAGCTTTTCGTCGATGTGGCCTTCAATAGATATGGTGCCGAGCTGGGTATCGTGCTGACTTCCCCAGACGGGCTGGTTATCGAGCAAGCAATTACGTTCGGCTTCCTAGCGTCCAACAATGAGGCGGAGTATGAGGCCTTCCTTGCCGGACTGAGAAGTGCATTGAGGATAAAAGTGTCGGCTCTCATGGTGTTCAGCGACTCCAAACTGGTGGTCAATCAGGTCTCTGGGGAGTATGAAGCCAAGGATGAAAGAATGGCCAAGTATCAGACGCTGGTGCGCGCAGAGATCAAGAAGTTCGCCACCATAAGAGTGGAACAAAATCAACCGTGAAGAAAACAACACAGCTGACGAACTGGCCGGCCTTGCATCTGCGCAAACAACTTTCCCTAATCCCTTAATGATATAATTCTTACCTCGGCCAAGCATTGAGGAACCAGAAGTGTCCGAAGTACTTTGCACCGACTTGGGACCCTTCTGGATGGATCCCATCATCACCTTCCTAAAAGATAGAATTCTACTAGAAGAGAAGAAAGCTGCCAACAAGATCCGAGCCAAGTCAGAGCAGTTTTGGCTCTCTTCATCCGGAGCCTTGTACAAGAAATCATTTACCGGGCTATATCTAAAGTGTGTCCACCCCGTCAAGGTGGAAGCTTTCCTCTATGAGATCTATGAAGGCATCTGCAGAAGTCATACTGGGGCCAGGTCTTTGGCCTATAGAGCAATTTTCCAAGGTTACTGGTGGCCATGCATGCAGGCGGACGCACAAAAATACGTGCGTCGGTGTGAAAAGTGCTAGAAATTCGCTCACCAAATCCACCAGCCGACTAGAGAATTGCTCCCCCTCATAAGTCCTTGGCCGTTTGCGCTCTGGGGATTCGATATTGTTGGACCGCTCCTAGCAGCTCCGGGCAATCGCAAGTTCTTCATCGCTGCTACCGACTACTTCACCAAGTGGGTTAAGGCCGAGCCATTGGCAACCATAAAGGAAAAAGATGTGAAGCAGTTCGTTTGGCAAAACGTCATCACTCGCTTCGGCATACCAAAGGCCCTCATATCGGATAACGGCACTCAGTTCAATGGAAAACTCTTTCGCGAATTTTGTGAGGAGTTGAAGATTGAGTTCTACAACTCAACACCGGCCTACCCTCAGTCAAATGGTCAAGCAAAAGCCTCAAACAAGACCATCATAGACGGGCTGAAGAAGCGGCTAGAGAAAGCCAAAGGAAAGTGGGCCGAAGAACTCCCTAATGTGCTCTAGGCGTACCACACTACGCCAAGGCGATCGACCGGAGAGACACCATTCGCCTTGGCCTATGGTATGGAGGCCGTCATCCCGCTGGAAATTGGTATGCCGACCATCCGGTCTGAGAGTTTTCAGCCAGATTAGAACAATGAAGCAGTGGCATTGGAACTTGACCTAGCCGAGGAAAGAAGGGAACAGGCTCTCATCCACATAGCAGCTTACCAGCAAGAGCTCTCCAAGAAGCACAACAAGGCCGTGCATCCCAGGCTGTTCAAGGTTGGGGACTGGGTCTTGAGAAAGGTAATGGGCTACACGGTAGTCCCTGGCGAAGGAAAACTCAGCGCAAATTGGGAGGGGCCATACAAGGTGACTAGCTTAGCGGGCAAAGGGGCATACCATCTGGAAGACTTAGATGGAAAAGCTATCCCCAGACCATGGAATGCAGCTAACCTTAAGATTTTCTACTTTTGAGATGTAATGGTTTATGTTGCTTAGCGTTTTGAACATTTTGCCTTTTTGGAATTTACTGTAATTTGCCAACATGTAATGAAAGATAGCCCCACTCTTTTATATTAATAGTTTTTGTACAATGACATCACAAGGATATTGGCCCATTGTGGGTGCCAGGGGCAAGACGACCGATTTACACTGAGCCGAACTGATTTCCTCTCGCCGGTGTAGAAACAGACCGCGCAAGCAGTTGGTGTATTATCCAATGAAACAATTGGTGTGTTGTCCAATTTGCATAAGGGCCGAGCTGATTTTTGCTCACCCAATTGAGATGTTGGCGTCATGACCAACTTGCATGAGATGTTGGTGTTTTGACCAATTTACAAGGCCGAGCTGATTTTGCTCGACTAAAAGGAAATGTGTGTGGACGTCTTGCCCAACTTATAAGAGCCGAGCTGATTTTGCTCGGCCAACTGAAATGTTGGGTGTTTATCCAACTGCTAAAGGCCGAGATGATTTCGCTCGGCCACATGCAAATATTGGTGATCTGCCCAATTTGCGCGGCCCCGAGCTGATTGTTGCTCGGCCAAAAGGACATGATGCTTTGCCCAATTTACTATGAGTAGATTTCGCTCAACCAAATAAAGTGTTGGCGTTTTATCCAATTTACGAGGGCCGAGCTGATTTTTGCTCGCCCGAATCTAAATGTTGACATTTTGCACATTTCACCCGGGCCGAGTTGATTTTAGCTCGACCGAATGAAATGACGACGTTCATCCGAAAATTGAAGAAATTCTGATTTTAGCTTGGCATATTGCGCGGCATAGTCGACCTACCAGTTGTGATTAAAATTGAAGAAATTTTGCATGCTGCAACCGCACAAAAATAGATAAGCGACAAGAAAAAAGTTTGAATTTTCATTGATAAAAGGAGTTGCATTACAAAAGTGGGGCCAAGCCCGGTTACATTCAATAAAAAAGAAGAAAGAGAAGAGGGGGGGAAACATCATTCTAGTTGATGTCGACAGTTTGCTCGGCGATGTCAATTGTCTGTTCGGTCAAGCCCTCCTTGGCCTCGTCATCAGCGCCATCCGCCGCAACAACCCCCTGCTCGGCCTCTTCATCTTCGGCCCTCTCAGAAACTTCGGCAACGGTTTGCTCGGCAGATTGCACGGCGACAGCTTCCTCTTCGGCCGTTTTCTTTGCCTCTTCAATGAGCCTTTCTTGGGCGGCGCTGGCGTACGCTTGCATGTAGGGCGGTATGAAGGCAGCGAGAGGGTTTTGGAACATCTTGGCATCTTGACCAAGGCCAACTTTTTCCACGGCAGCTTTCCAACCGCACTGAAAAAAGATGTCCTCCGTCGCCTGAACCTGCCGTTCATAAGTTTTTTTCGCCCTGCGCATACCCCCGGTCTTCGGCGTCCTCGACCACCTTGTCCTTTTCTTCCTTGTGAGCATCGCGAAGCTTACGCAGCTCGGCGAGGTAGCGAGCCTTCGTCAGCTTGACAGCCCGCTGTTTTTCCTCTTCAGCTCGGGCTAATTTTTGACTTAGCGCATCGCGCTTAGCCTCTGTCGTCTCTTGCGCGGCCTTTAGCTTGGTCACCTCAGCTGTCTTGGCCTTGTTATCGGCAATTGCATCCCGCAGACTTTGCTGAACAGTGATCATCCGCTCGTGGGACAAGTAGTTCTTTTGCGCGGCCTGAAAGCACGTAGAGATTGTCAGAATTCAGATAACCGAGCAATAACTTAATGAACAAAAGAATCTCAACTTACCAACACAATCGATTTTACCGCCGAGCGAAGCACTTTCAGGTCGGACAGCTCATCGTGCTTTTTCATGTCAGCGGGAAGGATCAGCCCCTTGGTCATGTTGAAACCAAGAGAGTAATCCTTGTCCGCGTACACTGAATCAGCCGCAGAGACAACCTGACCTTTGTACTTGAACTCGGGTGCCCAGACCGGGGGGGCACTTGGGCTTTTGGATGGCCCGTTGAGTGGTTGTTCGGTCTGGTCCCCCAATTCGGTAAAGGCGTGCTCGGTTGAGTCTTCGTCCATCAGATGCTGTCTGGCTTGATTTTTTATCGATCTTTTCTTCGACTGGCCAGTTGCTTGTTCGCTGGCAAGAGCCAACACGACCCCCTTCTTTTGCGCAACTGGAGTGGAGGAAGTCCCCCCAGATGCCTCCGGTGGCTGGGACTCGCTAGCCTCACCAGTGATCATTGACTTAATGGCTCGGATCTTGGCCATTTCTTGCTCGGCTGTTAGTGGGACTAGTTTGATCGGTGGAAGACTTGGGTCTGGCTCTGGAGATGGCGCACGCAGAAAGTCGGTTACCCTACTCTTGCGCGGCGCTGTGTAATGGTAGGTTGGTTCAAAGCCGAGCAGCTTGGGTGATTCTCTCTCCTCGGCAAGATGACGTAGCAAAACTCTAATGGCGTCCTGGTTTGCACGGGAATAGTCTTCGGCCAAGAGCTTGTAATCCACAAAAAGAGACAAGTGTTAGATCGGCAAAAAAAAGACAATTGTTAGATCGGCAAGAGAAAAACCAATGCAGAAAGAAGATAATGCGGTTCACCGAGCTACTTACCAGCACTCCCAAAATCTTTCCTAATGTACCAGCCTGGTATGGGTGCCTCGGTGTCTTCGTAACGGCCGGACACCCACAAGAAATCATCGTCGTTTGTTTCTTTATCCGGATTACCCTCTATGAGCTTTGCTCACCTTTATTTTTGCTAAGATTGTATTGATGAAATATCTCGGCAAGGCTGAGATTCAGACCGAGTCTCCTATTTAGCTCGGCCACGCCGTTTATTATCTTGTATGTGTTGTTGGAGACTTGGGTCGGACAAAGCCTTGACTGCCTTAAAAATTCGCAGATCAAGGTTGGACTGGGAAGCGAAGCCCTTCTTCTACTATGGAAACGACCGTGAAGGGGCACTTATCTAGCTCGCCCCATGGGGTATCTCCTTTCTTGGCCAGCTCTAGATGGACGTCGTCCGGGATGCTGTACTCCCTACGGAACTTGGCCAGTGCACCGGGAGAGCTCACCATAAACCGGTATTTCCCCATTTATCCCGGTTGTATTTATTGGGTGACTTAATTCGTATCTTGGTGAAAAATTTTGTACGTTTGCTAGGATGTTGAGCTTCACTGGAGGGGCTTGGTCAGTCCTAGTTTGTTTTGCATTATTAAAAAATAAGCCCAAGAGTTAGCGCGACATAAATTGCACGGCTTCAATTTGGAACTCCTAGCTCGGTCATAGTTCTTTGTTGTATTTGACCGGTCTGACCCCTACCTTGGCTCGACTATCCAACCGATTTGGCCTTTCTAGTTCAGTTTTGATTCCCTATGTCCAACACGGTTGCGGCCTCAAAGAGAAGCCGCAAACAAGTTTTTGCTCGGCTAAGTCCTATTTATGGATTTAAATGGGGATTTAGCTCGGTCTTACCCAGGGTTCGTTCTGTTCATCCCAAAAATGGGGTTTCATTCGTTCAAGCTAAGGAGAAACAGGGGCACGAAGGCCCCATCCATTTGTTCAGTTTCAATTTTCCCTAGGGTATACAAGTTTTACGCAAAGAAAGGGGGGCTGATGGAGCACCAACAGTCCCAAGCAAAGAGCATGAAGAACACGAAGAACA